TTTACTCCTTGTCTTTCTAAATCTTGCAAGCTCGTGGCTTATTCTCATATGCTTTTGCAAGATTCTGAATTTTATGCATGTACACATATATGAGGAATCATAGGTGTTCATTAAAAATGTATACATACACATTTGGAATACATGTGGAATGTGTGTGTCTTGTTATGCAGGTAATTAGTGTGTTTCAAAATTGTCAGCTTCTTCCGCTTCTAGGTCTTTGAGGTCTAGCATTCTGTTAGCTGTCTTTCAGTTTTTCTTAATTTGAATTTTAAAGCTAATGAAATATGCAATGCTTTACTACAGAATCCAAGTCTAAAGTAAATCATATCTGTTGGTGAATACATCTACTAGCTTATTGCACCCAAGTATATTTGCTTTTCAAAATAACAAGAAAGTCAGTTCTTTGTAGTTTCTAATAGCACTTTACTGCTATTGACTCTGGCTTGAAACATTGTGTTATACCAGCAAAGTATTTTAGTGCAGCTTTTGTGTGAGATGTGAGCATCTTTCACACAGTAAATCTTTCTACCTGTAATAAATTAATAATGAACAATACAGAAGGCAGAACCTTTTATATTCTGGCACAATGCTTACATTCCTTGTAGGTGACTAAACTTGTCTGCACATTTCTAAAACCTTTCAGATTCTCAGAAGCTACAAAAGATAATGAGCACAAACGCTCTCTTACCAAGACTCCATCTAGAATGTCTCCATACACGGAGATCTGCACACCTGACACTCAAAAGAGCTGCAAACTAATAAGTCAGAAGAACAGTAAGGAAAATGCAAGAAATAATGATCTGACTGCATCAAAGGGTAAGGTGGATGATGAATATTTGGCTCTTTCAGATCAAGACTTTTGTCTTACTGAATTACTATACAAGTTTTTAATGACTGAATGTCGTATCAACCCAGGTTTTAATTTAATTCTCTAAGTTATGACTGGTGCTTCAGAAACTGCACTAGTTTCTTTGTTTCCTTTGTTTTCCAGTGGTTTGACTAAAGTGTTTAGGTGCCACAACTTAAACGTATGGTACCTAGCTACTACAGAAAAGAGGATAGAAAGTCTTCTAGCCCTTTAGGGAATACATAGCAAAATATTTGTATAGCAGATACAGGGACACCCCATCTGCACAGAAAGGAATTCCTGACACCTCAGAGGTCTTGTTCTCCTTGTGAGGTTAGCATGAATCAGGCTTCTAGCTGTGCTTTAGGACAACCTGTTATCAGCCTCAGCACCCTGATAACTCAGGAATTAAAATCAAGAACAATCATAAGTCTTTTAATTACTAACAATCTGCTGCAGCACAGCTCTGCTGTCCAGCCATTGACACCCTCAGCATCACAGGGATATTTGCACAGGTCAAGAACCCAGAGCTTCCTGGTTTGCTGTATAATAATACTGATGTTTTCAAGGGGCAAGCAAAGATCCACATTGACCTGAAGCTGACCTGTTCCAAAAGAATTCTTCTTGAACGTGAAAACCACTTGGTTCCAAATAGGCATAGAAGAAACACAATTTGCCTTGAAGGACTAGAAAAACACATGGAGCTGTATGCACTCTTCCATAGTATAATCATAGCTAAAGGGCCAGAACTCTACAACTCTTGCCCCTTCCTATTTCAAGTGAGAATTGCATTGTTTGTGCAATTCTATCTTTAGATGTGGCAGCAGGGGCATTTAATGGCTCTTTGGTCTTGATAGTTGTAGTGTGGTCTTGCTCTGTCCATTGATGCTCTTGCTACTCTAATTATGGTGTCTTGATGCCTTTTGTAGTTCTTACCCCCTTCAAGTTTGGAGCTCAACCTGCAGAACCCACAAGTGCAAAGAAGACATTTGATCTCAAAGCAAGTCTCTCTCGGCCACTTCGGTATCAGCCACACAAAGGTACTGTGTTGGCCACACCCCTTACACTCAGCTGCTCATGCAGGGTGCTTTGATACACACAGTGAGAGCAAAGTTTACAACCTCTTCCTGTCCCTTTTCCTTGCTCTCTGGGTTCCTATGTAGTTAGATGTTAAATTCCTTCATAATATATGCTTCAAGAGCATCCCTACTGAAGATTAAGATTTTATGACTGAAAGCCCATAAATACAATAATAAAAACTCTTGTATTCCACCAAATAGATACCTGTACAGTAAATACAAAATATTCCTTACACAATGAGGTGGGTTTTTTTAATCTCGTGTGAGAAGCTGAACTTTGCATGGTGAGTGTTACTTCTAAGTACAGCCACCTGTTTCTACTTACAGAAGAACTACTTGTAGGGAATGGGCTGGTGAAACCGATAATACAGCTTAAAGAGGCATTTAATCTTCCAGACAACCAGTAAGAAACAGGCTAGCTAGGATAAATTCATTATAAGAAGTTAAGCACAAAATTAGTTACTAAACTATTAAACTAGTCTCTCTTTTGCTCCTAAATTGTAGGACGACTAAAACCATGGGGAGAATTTAAAGAAAATGCTGTTCTCAGTAGTTCTGGTGGTATCTGTTCACATAGGAAAGATTACAAACAGCCACATCTTCAGACAAGGTTAGTACACCACTCGTCTTTTTATAGATAGTATTACTTAAAATAATATGATGATTCATCCTTCTTAGGATTTAAATGTAGTTTAGGAAGGAATACTTTTGTATTAAAGCCATTTTTCCTTCCAATGACTGTTCAATTTCAGGAAGGCCAAGAAAAGGCTGCTCTGAATTTGTTAAGACTTTTTTTTTTTCCATGAACAGTATCAGTTCCAGACTTTGGAGATTTACCTTCATCTTGGAAGAAGCTGTCAATATTGACATGTTGTTACCTCAAGTGTTAGACCTGCATATCTCAGCAGAAGTATTTGCCTGAATGTTTGGGTTCAGTCCATAATGGTACTCTTATCTCTGCCTATGGCAGAGGCAGCACAGTGTTAGGCTGTGGTCAGCTTCAGATTCCTTTTGTTGTTAGTGTCTCTACTTTAATCAAACTTGTCATGATCTCTTTTTTTTTCCCTCCAGGGAAGAAAGGCGTGAGACGCTTGAGCAAGACAGAAAAAAGAAAAAGGCTCATGCTCTCGGAAAACGTAGAGGCCTATCTGGGTGTTAGGAATAACAAGAAGTACCTAAAGATATCACTGTAAATACTGTTCCTCTCTTGTAAAGGCTTGTGCTCTATGTATGGTTCAGGTTGCTTTTAGCTAGTGGTATCCAGAAAGCAATTAATGAGACCTTGTAACGTGCCCTGAGCATAATGTTTCTGTGATCAACTTCTCTATTGTGATGACAGTTCTAAACTTTCAGGGGCTTAGAACTCTCTTGTTGCTTCATAATGTTTTCATTAAACTAATTTACTTGACAAAAAGATGTTAAAGAAGAAAATGTAAGTGGAAAAAAGATGCTCAAGAAGCCTCCTTGCAACTTAGGAAAGACTTGTGCATCAGAATGCACTTGTTGTGTGCTAGAATACAGGCTTTAGATAGCAGCAGCTTCAAAATATTCCACAGTGTTCAAAATGACAAGATTTGGAAGTACCTGCTTGCCCTGTTCTCCAGATCAATCCTTAAATTCTCTAAGTTACAGCAATTATTCAGCATTTCTAATTGAATGCCTATGAAATAGTAGGGAATTTCAAAAAGAAAAAATAGGCAAGCTCTCTGGCAAACAGCTGTATAACATAATTGTAAACTACCTTTTTCAAAAAGTCACAACTGAATTTACAAATTACCAACTGAATGTTTTGAAGAGTTAAGGTTTTGTTCCTTTCTATAGTAAATAGCAATGTTAAAATTGTCTTGCTTTTCACCTGTAACATGCTTAAAAGAGGTTATAATTGTGTTGAGATACACTCAATACCTTGGTTTTAAAAGAAGCTGTTATTTTTACATTAAAAAATACATAGAAAAGTTGTCTGGATTTTTTAGGGATGGAAGTAAAAAGGTAATTTAGCAGTTGTAATCTCATCTGTTGAGCAAATAAATGTTTCACTGAATTTAGTGTCCCATCAAATATATGTTGCAATGTTAAGAAAAAGCAAAATTTTAAAATAAATTTAAGGGGGGAAATATTTTTAATATGTCCTGTTTATCACTGGCTTTATCATTTAGTGTACTAACTACAATTGCTTCCTTACTCTGGCACTCTTTTTGTTCACACTTGTATTTACTGCCGTTTTCTGTGCCAAGTGCTCCTCACCAACTCACCTGCCTCCCACTCCACGAAAGATGTTTGCTCTGGTATCTTCCTGGTATCATTCTTCTACAAATAAGCAGCTGAATTCAGTATAAAAGGAAAAGGATAGTACAAGATCCTGTTTCAGCTTGCTTCATTGTGGTCTCTTCAATATAAAATACAGGTACATTTAATACTTCTAAAGTATACTTAAACAAAGTCACTGTGGAGGAGGTCAGTGCTTTAATTACTTAAATTTGACAGCTGAAACATAAACTTTACAAAGCCAGTGCTGAGTGGTTATCTTGAATTACTGAAAACTTGATTTATCTGAAACAGGGAGGTATTAAGATTCTGTGCCACCAGTTGAGGCTGTGAATTCTTACACAGCAGAAGTGGGAGCTGCTGTGCCCTGTAATGGCGCTAAGTAAGCCAAGCTCTGCCTGCTCAGGTAGGAGACAGCGCTGCAGCTTTCCTCCCACCCCTCCTTTGGAGCATTACTTCTTTCCAACAACCTTGGCTCTGTAACATTGTAGGATTACCTTCAACAGCTCTGAAGGAAAAATCACGCAGGCTGCACAGCTCTTGTTTCCATCTTGGCAGGGCAGCTTTTTCTTTTTTTAGCTATGTAGAGGAGCCAAAGTTAAAGGTTAAAATACTTCTGCTTTTTCCACTTCTGGTGCTGCTCTTTGTAAATTTCTGTAGCTGAGTCACACTTAAGCACCAGTCCTCAGAATATTAATTCTCATAGCTTTTTCAGTTTAAAACTAGCAGATGCAAGTGTTTTACAACTGTCAACAAACCACATAATATAGAAAATGGAAGTGTTGGACAAAAAAAGAACAACAAACTCATGAAATACTTTTATTTCAGTAAAGGTCGTGACAGAAGCCAAGAAGAGTTACTACTTTGTAGGAACATCACAACTGCTCTCAGGCTACATTGCAGTCCATCCATCTCTGTATAGTCTCTCCAGGATTCTGTATTTGGGAGTTTAAAGATGTCAGTGGTATCACACTTCATGCACTTATCTCTTTAATGTTACATAGGCTCTTCAAGTTGTTAAAAGCCACATGTTAAGAAGTATTTTATAAAAATAAACCATATATCTGAAGAATGTTCAAAGGACACCAGTCCAACTTAGACTGGAGTGTTCTTGTCATATGCTTCATAGGCAAACTTTTCTTTATGAGCTCTGTCATTTAGCAGACCAATAAAATCGATCTCCAGCTGGAATGGACCATCTACTTTATCTCCAATGGTGAATCCAAGGGTTCTAATCTAATTAAAAGACACAGAGGGTAGAACAGTATTTATAATATTACAATCAAACTCAGTTGTATCTCCCAATTCCATATTTTACACACCAATCACAGCCATCTTTTTTAAACTGGTATTTGTTCAAAATGCAGCAGCATTTCTTAAGGCTTGAACACTTCACTACCCCATTTTGAATACAGACCCCAGTGGGAAATGACTCCACATTTGTCTTCCTACCACTGTGTTAATAAAGCCTTGATTTAAAATGGTCCAAGCCTAAAGCAACAGTTACTTTTATCCTTCACGCTTTGTATACGGCCACTTTCATAACAACTGGATTTCTAAACACATTTTCATAAAATCAGTATTCTTTCATTAATAGGAAAAACAAAAATGTAATTAAGGATGGAAGGGATCATTCTAGATAGAGATACACCATCTACTCTGTGAAAACACCAAACCAGACATTTTAGGACTTAATTTTAAGCTGGGATGAAACTTAATTACTGAGCTTAATAGTAAAATGAGGTTCTTACCCACTGCTTTCCAATTAATGTTCTTAAATATAAGAACAAATCTGTGTGGCACGTGTGCTTCCTATTAGACTGTGGCTTGCCTGAATGCTCCCTCACCTCTCATGTGTTACAGAACACCTCCATCATTAACAGCTCAGTCCAGGCACTAGTGCAGGCCACCTCATAAACTCAGCTGCCCTAAAGCTCTACTGAAAGGGCAGGTCTGAGCAGTGCCCATGATTTTAAGGACTGCTGTAAGTTTGGGAAAATAATGTCTAGGATGTGTCAGATTAATAAATGTGGTCGGAATCTAAATCTACATTGCAAATATATGCTAAATAAATAACAAACAAAGCTAGATAAATGCACTAACACTCCTCCAGATCATTCTAAATGCTTTCAGTGCTGTTCCTTCCCCAGCAGCAAGCCTACAAACAGCCCCATGGCTTTTAGAGTCCAGAGAGTTTTTAAAGCTCCTTTTTTCCAAATCACATTGTTACAGATAATGTGTGGGAGTCACCTAAACTCTCTGCTCTGAAGAATCAATTCCTTTGCAAGCCCTAGATACACTGACTGTTTCCTGCCTTTTTTTATTCCTATTTAACAATTATTTTCTGCCTTTCCAGGCTCCTAGGAAAACATACATTAGTACCATGAGGACCATTCATTTAAGAGTTGGACTTGATGGTCTCTGTAGGCCCCTTCCAACTCCAAATATTTGTGTGTGACAAAGACATTTTATTAAGATTTCTTAAACTACCTTCACACTGCTTGCCTGATTTTGGGGTTTCTGTAAAATATGTAAAATTACAATGCAAGTGCATAATTTTTACTGTGAAATGCTACACATAAAATAACCATCAACAAAACTTCAGTGGAGGATACTTAGATCAAGTACTGATTTGTCCCTTTAACTCCTAGTAAATATTTTTAAATAGCTCGTATACAACTTTATGTTTTCATTTACCACACATGATAATAAGTACCTTATAACATGAAGAGGCCCTTCGATTTCAAATTCACAAACATTACAGAATTTGTAAGTTATCTTTATCAGGCCATCTTGAAGGAAACACTGAATTTCTTACAGAGCAGTTGTGTGTTCCTTATACTGCCTTTTCAAAAGAAACTTCATATAAAGCCTACAGAACACTTGCCTTGTCTAACCAGACAGGATGCTGGTTATCCTGGACTCTTCCCCGACTGGAGAGAAAGAATTTGGAGAATGGAATCTGACATGAACAAAACAAACAAAATCACACTTTAGTGTCACCAGTGTATAAAATAGAAACTTAGGGAAAAGAAAAGAATGTGTTAGTAAAGTAACACTCTGTTTTATCTGGCATTAGCATTAGCTGGGTATATAAAAGTGGCACAAAGAAATGGGGCACATTAACCCTTTCAACTGGCCACTTGCAGCCAGCTCCAGGCCCACCCAGTCCTGTGGTGGCCGCAGCCGTCACACAGGAGCATTACCCTGTCAGGACACAATGAATGGCTGCAGGACAGAAGGTGGTCTTTACATCAGAATACCTCCATCCAGTAACATGAAAATATAAACCAGAAATTACTGCAAAGTCTACCATGGGTACATACTGACAGCTCATCTGTACCCAGGCTGTGGATTTCACAGTGCAAACTTTGTACTCAGACATCAGTGTCTCTAGCAAAGCACTTCAGGGTAATGTAAAAATTTCTTTGAAAGTAGTGGAAACAAGAAAGCAGGGCTGGCTGGTGGCTGGTGAGGGTGAGAGGAAAACATCCAAGCCAGCAATGACAGTCCAACTTTCATCCTCCTGGCTCCTCCTCTGGAACAGCAGGCTATTCTCACATGATTGGACAATGGTGTCGTGGAGCACTCAACACCAATTCCTAAGGATGTGCAAACCTCCCTATAGTTGTCAGAGAATTACAGAAGGTCTTCTAGTTGCAACTCACACTTCTTAAAAATACTATTTTTAAGAAGTCACAGAGTCAAGGGTCATAAATGACAAATCCCAACACTTGAGTCTGACTGACTCCAGAGAGGCTACAAGTTAAGCAAATCCTGTTGCATGGAACAAATCCTACAACAGCCTACACCCATTAGTATCACAGATAAAATGGTTACCACAGAGAATATTCCAGGCAACACCTGCTAAATTTCAATTGCTGTATCTATCCTATTACTCCAATAAGAGCCAACAGTAAGCATTCAGAGAATTCAGTATGCATTCAGTAAGCATTCAGAGAAACACAGTGGATCAATTCTTTAATACAACTGACACAGTGTTCTCCCCTAGTCCAGTTTTGGGAACTCCCAAGCCAAAGGAACATGTATATTGTATAATGAAAACACTGAGTGGACAGCAATAGAAAGTAACTGTGAATGTTGAAAGAATTCCACTTCCTGTGTTTTGGCCAGGACCTCAAGACGGTCTCATTAGTTTGAAAGATTAGCTCACCTGTATTTCCTCCCAGTACGGGCCTCCTCGCGTAAACATGAAGTAGGTGTAGAGGTCATCCTTTTGATGAGAGAAGTAGGGGTCTGTATAAATATTTACCATCCAAGGTCTGCCATCACCACGGACACGTAAATACAGACTGTTGAAGTTTGACCAGTCATAATACTTCTTCCTGTTAAAAGATCCCTACAAATTATTGAAAAGTAGAATTATTCCTCCTTAATAGAGGGACACTTTCATTATGAGGAATAGTGCATTGTTGCTTTGATCACTGCCCTTGTTATTGTGTCAGATAGCATTTACTGTAACACAATAAACACAGCTACTCTGTCATCACCCTGGCTGCTGAGCTCACTGAATTTCCTCCAGCACTATATTAGAGACCACAAATTGCAATATTGCCGCCTGAGGACTCACAATTTCATTATAAGCCACAATCTTGTAACTATCAGAAATCAGACCTCCTTCCTGGGACTGAATTCCCTACCAGGCAATTACACAAATCCTGTAGTGACAGATCAGCACTTACATAGTTCACAAAGTTTAATATATTCTGTGGTCAATTCTAGATAATTCAGAAGTGATGGCAGGAAATTGAAGTAGTGAAATAATTTATCCCCTTTGATAACTTCCCAATGGAAGACTAATGAGCACTGGTAGCATTTTATGTTTTCCAACTTTTTTTTTTTCATTAACTGTGTAAAATAATAAGATTGCAAGCACGTCTAATTCTTTATTGCATTTTCCCAAAGATCTGAAAAATCCTGATGCTGTCATTTGCATGATGGCATATCCAAGAGTCCTCAAAGAGCTACACTGAAGTCACTCGGAGCAATGAGGGGCAGAGGGCAGGGTTACTTTTGGCCAAACTTGCCAAGAAGTCAAAATTAGGGCAAAAAATTCAGATGCTTCCCCTTTATTTTACAGGACTACTATGATTACCTATCAGCTATTGTTCTACCAACTCATCTTGCAGGTAACAGAATAAGTAGATTATGAATATGTAAGACCAGTAGCTAGTTGATTTTATGGTTTTAACAGTTTTGAGCCTTTCTACTTAAATAAAGATGGACCAATATATTCCACTACTTCAGAATTAGTAAGTGAAAGTTTTTGAGTCACATTTGCACAAGTCAGTAGCAGTCCTGAGAGTTTAACTTGACTCCACTTGTTGTTCCAGTCATCTGATCTAATGTCACCATTTTAATCAGTGTTCATATGTCTCTCATTTACCCATTGATTTTGCTTACTCATATTCTCTGCTCCCCAAGATTCTGGCCCAGAAATTATTCTACCTAAGTACTTGTGCCAAGATACAAACAACACATTAAATATTTAAGGATTTTATCCAGTGTGTGAAAATGCTTTTAAAGGTGCTTAGAAATAAGGGATGAAACAAGCAGTATCCATAATAAGCACACCTATTTCTGGTCCTATTTTGCTCAATTCTGAGCTATCAAAGATTTGTGTCTTGCTTTTTCTGATGTACAGTAGGAGGCAGACCTTTAAAAAGTACATTTCAAAGCATTGTTTTCTGCTCCTGTGAGAAAATGAGTTCATTCACCCTAACCAAGTCTGATGAATAGACCAAATTAAAGCCCAGAAAATTCTTACTTATGACACATTCAACCAACTTCAAATTTAGAAACATGTCTATTTTAATAATACCAATTTTGGATATAAAGATTCATTCCAGATCCTTCATTTGTAAGGATGCTGCAAACAGGACTGTCTATTGTACATAAGTAAATGATCAAATATGCATTATTCCTTTTCTAAGAAAGGAAAACAAAACCCAAGAAAAAATTTAAGTTCCTTCCAGGTCAAAGCGGACACAGTAGCAATTACATGTCTGAGAGAAAACGCAGTACTCCTGAAAGTGATCAGCAGTAAAGAGCAGGCCCTTGCTGTCACTGGGATTCCACAAACACTCTCAGATTCAGCATCAAAAGCTGTGCAAACACAGAGCTGTACTCACCACTGCCGGTCTGGATCTCATACTGCAATATCCACTGTATTGTGTCTCCCCATCACGAGGCACTTCTGTATTGAGGGTTCCATACAGCAGAGCAGCCTGGTTATTCCTACCCAGTTTGATGTAAACTTTACTTTTCCCTCCAATCTCCACATCAGAGGAAATAACCCATTTATTTAAATCTTCTTGGCTCCTAAACTGCCACAACACCCTTGTTTGTTCCAACAAGTGCTGACTTAATGGATGGCCTCCAGGTCCTTTTAAGTAATCTTGGGTTTCCTTCTTCAGCAAGCTTAGCTGAGTCTTTAGGTGATCAAAGGCCTTCTTAAAGCTGAAATCAGCATTCTGCCAAGACAGTTTTTTCTCAGGTTCTGCCCCTGGCCTCCTGTAACTGCTGTACAATTTTGAATTGTTGAGGAGAGGTCCAAGTGAAGAGAGCAAAGCTTTGGGTTTGCAGCATCCACCGTGGAAAGAAGCACCATTCAGCAGCATCACAGCCAGAGCCATACTGGTAACTTAAAAAATTCACATCCAGTAAGGCAATTAATGGATTGAAAGTCAATTTAACAACAAAACTAGCATTCAGAGCTATCTGATCTTCACCTTTAATGAAAAAGAGAAAAGGTTACAAAAATTACATACAGGATGCTTGTGAAATTATTTAACTTTTACAATCAATACTAGCTAGAAATCCAAGTCATTGGAAAACAGAATAAAAAAAAAAAAACCATCAGGAATGACACTTCCTCAGAGCTTAAGTTTACTTACTGATTTCCACCCTACGCTCTCCCCTCTCCTCACGGTGTAAAAGCCCCATGCAAGTAAGAAACCCAAGTAAACTAATTTAAATAAAACTGAAAAAAGAAAAGAAAATCAATTTATCTTCATCCTTTCCACCAGTAAGTTTAGGTGTTACGATAACACCAATAAAAACAACCCATGAAGGTTTCTAAAAGATGACACCTATATAACTAAAAAGTTTTATTCCTGCATGAAAATAACAAATTCATAAAAGGCAGACAAACACAACAACCTCATCTTAAACAGATGACAAGACTTTTCAAATACTAAGTCCTGCAGCAGCCATACCACATTCTTCTTCCAAGTCATCTTCAATATACTTGTGTTAAGATTATAGAGAGATTTGCAAAGACCTAAAAGTTTAACATGAAAGACTACAATTCAATATGTTTTTTTTTTAATAAGGCTTCAGGAAAACTCTGCTTAATGCTCTGTACAGACGCTATTTTCTCCTACTTGTAAAATTAGATGGGGTTTTTTTTGTTGTTTTTTTTCATGCCACAGAACAAAACCAAAAATGATGTCACATGCATTCAACTTCTGTGAGCTTTTAAGAATGGAGTCAGGCACCGCACTTATATCCTCTGTCACTCACCTTCCTTTACTCACTGTAAAATTTACTACTGTTATCTCACACTCTAATTGAGTTATGTCTAAAGCTACACTGAAGTAGCTTTTAGAATTCCCATTTTAGTAGCTTAGGATTCACATTATTCTCTGTCGTGCACTTCACGCAATCAAGAAGCCCTGTCTCCTCATTGCTTCGCCCCAGTGCAACAAGAGAACGGAGAATTCAAACACATTCTGCTTTAGCCCGGTCTGTGTCCCTCGGCACGGCTTTGGCAGCCCAGCGCCGGTGACGGCCCGGCAGCGGCTTCCGCCACGGCCCCGCTCCCGCCGCGGCCTGCGCGCCGGGCCCGGGCGCCGCCCGCACGGCCGAGCCCGGCGGGCGGAGGCGAGGCCAGGGCGGGGGGCGGCGGCCGAACCCCCTCCCCGCAGAGCGGCCGCCTCGCCGCTCCTGCTCCGCGACCGACAGACCCCGGCACCCGCACCGCCTCACCTTCCCGCCGCCAGGTCCGCCGCGCCCGGGCCGGCCAAGGAGCGAGCAGCGCACCGCTCCGGCTGTGGGGCACCGCTCCGGCTGTGGGGCACCGCTCCGGCTGTGGCGCACCGCTCCGGCTGTGGCGCACCGCTCCGGCTGTGGCGCACCGCTCCGGCTGTGGCGCACCGCTCCGGCTGTGGCGCACCGCTCCGGCTGTGGCGCACCGCTCCGGCTGTGGCGCACCGCTCCGGGCGCGCCGTGCCGCGCGGATCTGCGGGCGCCGCGGGAGCGGCCGCGGGGACACCGCGCGGGGACAGCGGCAGCCCCGCCCTCGCCCCGCCCCGCGAGCCGCGCATGCGCGGTGCCCTTTGTGTCGGGCGGGCGGGCGGGCGGCGCGGGTCAGGCCGGGCCGGGCCGGGCCGTGCGAGCGCCGCCGCCGCCGCCGGGGCGGGGAGGGGGCACCGCCGGCTCCGCCATGGTGAAGAAGCGGAAAGGCCGTGTCCTTATCGACTCCGACACCGAGGACAGCGGCAGCGAGGAGAACCTGGACCAGGTGCGCGGGCAGGCCCGAACGCGGGGCCTGGGCTCGCCGGCCCGCGCGGGGCTCGGCGCCGCCATCCCTCCCTCGCTCCCGCCCGGTGGTCCCGCGGCGCTCTCGCCCTCCGCAGCCCGATGGGGCCCGCGGCGCCCCGAGGAGAGCCCGCGCCCCTCCGGCGGGTCCCGGCCCGCCCCTGGCAGGAGGCCCGCGCCGGCGGGGGCTCCTTGCAGCGGGCCCGGTGCTCGGCGCCGGCGGGACGGAGGCGCGGTGGATGCTCCGGGGCGATGCTCCGGGCGGTCTGGCCCTGAGGAGCGGTTAGCGAGGCCCGGCTGCCCGCGGTCTTCTCACCTCGAGTAGTGGGGAAAGAGGCCCAAAGGGCTGGGCAACTTTTCCATGCTACTTTGGTACGCCGGGAGAACAGCGTGTCAGGTCCCTGCCTGTCCTCGGGGCAGGCAGGCTCCCGGAGTGTTAATGCGTGTTTAATGCGACCCTCTCAATCTTGGTGACTGCGCTAGGGAGCTCTGTTGATGGGAAACCAGCCTGTAGATGTAAGAAGGGGTAGTATTTATTTGTCATCACAGCATCTCCCGGGGTTATAAGTGCGATGTCTGGTGTGAGTTCAAGCGTGTCAGGGTTGCAAAGGGGGTGTCTCCCCTCTTTGGAGCGGGCTGCTTTCAAAATTCACTTTTTAATGTAGCAGGTATTGATGGCATGATTCCAGTGGTAAATAAAGACATTATAGGTGAAGTGTGTTGCAGCTTGTATGGCAGTGCTTGCTCCCGGGAGAAGTTTGGTGGGTTGAATATGCTGAAGCCGACATGTCTGATGTAATTTATGTGTTGGACCCTCAGAGTTTTTAATATAGAAGCTGTTGCTATATTGCAATAAAAAGCCTTCCCAAACATACAAAAATACTTTTGCAGGTTGGGGCTTCAGAAAAATAAGATCTGATACTCCATTAAAACAAATACACAGGAGCTGATGTGGTTGATCTTGCATACCTTTAGAGTCCTTAGTGCTGCCAACATCTCGTTGCTAGTGTATCAGTTTGATAGTTTTAGGACTTAAAAATGGGAGCTGGACTAGCTCTAGCATCAGTCAGACAATTGGAGTGATGGTGGTAGGAGTAACCACGTGGTTCTGCATCTGTTCCATCCCTCACTGGCAGCAGGCATCTGCAGCTGTACCTGAGTAGTAGGTGCTTCCCCCTCCACTGGGCTGTTGGTAGAAACTGTGACAGCAGGGAGGTGTGTGTGTGTGCAAAGATGAAGATCAGGTAGTAGGGAAGCCATGTTTTTGAGATGAGAGAATACTGACTTAAATGTTAAATACTGAGTAGATTATGTTTGACAGCTTCCCATGGCAATCTAGGCTGTTGAATCGACGACTAGCAGCCTCTTAAATATAGTATCTTGGAAAACAGAGAGTAAGTATAGAAAGAAAGAAAATGGAATATGGCTTTAAAGTGGTGCTCTTCTTCAAGAGCTTCCCAAAGAGAAGCACTACTGAAGCTTCAGGAGCTTCCAGAGATCTCTTGATTGTACAAATGTGCTATATTGATGTTGCAGGGCTTCTTTAGAGAATGGTTGGTAAAATGCCATTACTAATGAACTAATGAAAAGTTTCTTTGTTGGTAAGTAGGCAGACCTACTACGGTTTTGACATACTAGATCTGGACCTACTAGGTAGTCAGTTTCTGCAGTGTTTATGTTCTCATTTGAGATAGTAAATTGTAATCAGTTTGTTGAGATAATCTTCCAGTTCTGAAACTAATGGAAACCAATCCAGCATCAACTTCCCAAGACTGCAGAAGTTGGTGTGGCTGTATTTCTACACGCAACTAAGACTCATCGGCCCCAGAGTAATGTTTCTAAGAATAGATTCTGTGTCCTGGACTGCAAAGACAGTAACACAGCTTCAAAAATGTTTGTTTTATACAACTGCTTGTGTCACCTGAACAAGTGATGAACAGCAGATGATGAGAGTATTGGAGCCATGTAGTTTTTTGTGTGGGTGCATGTTGCCCGTGAAAGTGCTTTTGAGCAGAACAACTCTCAAAAAGTTTCACAGACTTTGAGCTTGATCCCTGCTCTGTGTCTGAAAGCTTTAAGTGCTTTCTGGGGTGTGTACCAGCAGTGAAGAGGAATTGAACAGACTGACTAAATATTACCAACCATGATGTAAAAGTGATGCCTAAAGCATTTCCCCTTTAAAGTGTATAATTGCAGCCATCTCTGTTGTTTAGGAGAAGAAGCTGATATCTGCTGGTATTTGGCTTTTTAGGGCTGGTGCTTCATGGTGTAGTTAGGGTGGTTTTTAATTATTACCCAATCCAAGTAAGACAAATCTGGACATGACTCTGAAAGCAATTTGTCTTATGTTGTTTATGCCAAGAAAGTAATGGTACTAATAGTTATTTCTTATAGCATGTTATCTTTTAAATCCTTTCGTAGCATCCAGTATTAAAATTGTGTGTGCACATGTATATTTATGAAACATAAGTAGACTTGTTCCTTAGTAGGTGGCAATAATCTTGCTACTGAGATATGCTCAGATATTGTGGAGAACCTGCATGTGCTCTGACCTGGATTGTTAAAACTAATTGCGACACTTTGAAATAAACGTGTGTGTTTTTACACCAGGAGCTCCTGTCATTGGCCAAACGGAAACGCAGTGACTCTGAAGAAAAGGAACCACCTGTGAGCAAACCTACAGCATCTTCAGACTCTGAGACATCAGACAGTGATGATGAGGTGACTTTATCGTGTTATCAGTGAGATTGCTATGGGTTGTTTGTCTGATCATACCTAAGCAGTGAAAGTGTATTTATCATACAGTATATTTAGGCTGCTGACTTCATAAGGTGGGACTGGCTATCAATGATGGAGACTCATGAAGGCCAGAGATTTTTTTTTAAAATAAATGTTTTGAATTCTAATTGTATACAAAATAGTCTGTCTATAGAAAAGATGACTGCCAGTTTAATCCCAGGTTCATATGGTGTGGTGAGCTGCCTGCTTTAAACTAGTGTTTTTCCTGTGTTGTGCTTGAAGTAGCAGTGAAGCTGCTAAAGCTGGACTCTGAATTCAGGGAGTGAGGTTTTCACCTTTTGAGTGAAGCTTCCTTCCTAAGAGAAGGGTCAAGGCACGTAGTACTATTTTACAGGTAGCAAAACTGTTCTATTTAGCTACATTGATTCCTCAAGAACTGTGCTGTGAATTAGCTGTCTGGCCATTTGGATATGCAACAGGGTGTGTTTTGATCAACATCTTTGAAGAAAGAGTCAAGAAAGAGTTCAGCATTACTTTGTTCTAAAGTTTCTCAATTTCTTATAAAACAGTGCTTATCTGCTGGTTCTTGTTTTAGTATTTGTTTTTGGTACCTACAGTCTAGAGCTGGTTAAAAGCCTGTGCATCTAGAAAAGAAAAATTTTAAAAATCCTATTAAAACAGGCACTGATAAATGTTATACAGGTATTTGAGTAAAAGCAATATCTGGAAAGCTTTCAAATATTTTTGCACACTTTCTGCAAATTATAGTCAGGTCATTTATTCCACCTATTCTTAAAAATTTGACAGGGAGATGTTTGGTGTAGGTTTTTGTATTTTTTTCTTCTAAAGTAACAGTATGGATTATCCATTGTGGCAACTTGCAGACTAACAGGGTAGGGTAGTGATAAACTATAAAGCATTTGTTAGTGTAGCAGAGTTCTTCCAATAAGTGTGAAGAATAAGTGTGCAGTTTAATTTTCTTAGGCATTTTTAAAATAAATGTGCTTGGAACTCTGTTCAAAATCAATCATTTTCTTAAAAAAAATTGTTTCTTGTATATCTAATATACACTTAAGTCATAGAGACAGACAAAACTGTGAACAACCTAGATATATTAGGTTTCTTATTGGGGAACTACTCAGTCTGTCACAGTGTGTGTTCAGATCTGTTAGCTTACAGTTTATTTATTCAAAGTTATGTGGAGACCAGTCTGGAGAAAGTAGACTTGGGTGTGGAGAGCATGTGGATGATAAAGCCTTCTGTTCTGTGTTTATCTCTGAAAGCTGTCAGAATTTTAACTTGTGTAATAAGTGAGGTCTACCTTTCTACTATGTGTAGAATGTGACAATACCTCTTTGCAAATTTGCACAGACCTTGCACATCAGCAGTGCTACTGTTGCACCCAGTGTGTTTGATACGCTTTCTATCTGTGTATCATTTCAAATTGATACTATGTTCTTTCTGACCTCCATGCAGCAAGAGAAAAAGATTTAGAGAAGAGGTAATTAGGACACTTGCTTCTATTCCTGTGCCTGAAATATGCATTCTGAGCTGCTGCTTGTCACAGCAGGATGAGCGGCTGGCTTGCAACAGTTCTGCTTCTGCCAGTCATTCTGTTCTGTGCGTCCCTGGGCTTGACTACACTAATCCTGCTGAATAACTCAGGTTTTAATAAGTATTCTTGTGGTTGGTTTGAAGTTTGTTCAACCTTGGGGTTTGGGATAGGGGGGTCTAAAAGTTGAATTTGTATTATTGGACTTCCTGCAAGGTGAAGACCATGAGGCAGAAGCATGGAAATTGTTGCCCTGGACAAATGTGCCTAATCATACCCATGTATTTCCACGGAGGCTTTTCAGTGTGCATGTCCTTTGTGATTCCTGGAAAGCACTAAATGTTCCAAGATTGGCACTATGTTGCACGTACAGGAAAGAAGCAGAGCATAATGCAGCATGCTGCTTTCTTTTAGAGGGAGGAAAGTTTGTGGGGCATAGGGGAGAGAAAAACATTTTGGAGTTACTGAATAACAGCAGGTACAAATCATGCTGCATGTATACAATAGTGCCCAAGGGATGTCACTACATCTTTAATGTTATATTTATGTGTATCAGTGAGAATGTCAGCATCTTGCCCAGATGCTGGGTTCTGTAACACTTAAAGGACCTCTGTGGTCTGAATCAAATTTCCTAGCCACCAGACTGAAAGGGAGTTGCAGGCAATGAAATAGGAGGGATGCTCTGAAGTGTCTTCTGGTGGGGCTGAGGAACATTCTTGACTGAATTACTATAGTCTTTTGTTCAGAGAGCTGATAAATAGCAATGACTGCCGGGCTTTGCAATGAGGAGAGCTATCTTTCAAAGAGATGTACTCTGCTCAAGAACTCACCATGTCAAACTGGTAGCTTTCTGCATGTAACCAGTTTGGTGCTAGCCAGGTTACTGCTGGGGCTACCATGCCAGAGGTTTGTGTGTCCACAAGGTGTTCTTGTTACTGATTGAGGGCATTACGTGGATGATGTTCCTCACTTGCAGTAGGTTAATTCTGGGCCCTTGCTTTTCCTTTTATTATGGCATCTCTGCTTACAGTAAGATAATTCATTCTATTGTGTGAGAAGAGTGGATGACTTCTGCAACAACCTCACTCATATTAGTGTTGATTAGACAGAAAGCCATAATGCTATAGGAGCTCCTGTTTGTTTCTCTTGAAAAGTACACTCATTCTGATGTCAGGAAGGGTTCAGTTCTGCTTTTTAACACCTACACGGGTAAGGACAGAATATCCTTCCGGAACTAGAAAAATTATATAACGAGTACTTAGTAGTATTCTGGAGTTTAGTGAGGATTATGGTTTTTTTATACCTTTTATAAAAAACATATATTCATTTTTTATACATTTTTAAACAAATGTGTTAATTTTTTAGGGAACTGTATAGCTGAAGATCTTGTCAAGAGCTGTGGGACAGAGGAGTAGGTGAGCAGTAGTCATGCAGCTAGTGAGGAGATTGGGCTCAAATAACAGCCTAGAGGGTTTTATGCCTCTTTGTATCTCCTTACTGCGCTTCAAGTTAGAGCACTCCAGCAAAGCACAGATGAGCAGAATACTGCATGTGTTCTTTCTGTTTTGGGGATGTCTTTTTGTGGGTTTGTAGAAATTACAGTACTGAATGTTGTCTTTTCCTGTTTACTTGTATTTTATAATACTGCTTAATTAAACCTTCAAGAATGAGTGGGTTCTCCAGTCCTGTGAGGCCTTTGCCATACATTTTTTTGAAGCTTAGGAAATTTGAAGCAGGCCATGCTTTAATCTTCTCATAGATTTACAGTTTATAGATTGTTACAAAGTTACAAAGTGCTTTGTAACTTTGACTTTTCCTGGAGACAGTTTCCTTCAGCTGTTAATGTGTGCAATAGTAAAGCTTTTTAGCTTTTTAGGAGTAATGTGAATAAGCTGTCAACAAAATTGGTTTAAAATTTAATCTGTAACTAACTTCTTTAAATTGCAGACTAGCATGAGGATAACTTCTTGGGATTTTTCTGTGAGCTTCTTGGAGCTGTACTTGAATGAAAAGGGTAGATCAGGTGTCTGGTGATACTCTGGCCCATGAAGCCTTCTTCAGCTAGTTCCTGGCAAAGCCTCTTCTGTGGCTTCCGAAGGTGTTTTCTTTATTTGCTTATTTCCTTTCCATTTTGGTGTTCATACCTAGAGTTTTCTCTCTGTGTCTAAAATAGTTCTTAAAGTTTTCTGATTGCTGGGCTGTTGTCATCATGAAAGTGTTTGAGGTGTTCAAATAACAGGTGTAGATCCTGAAAGGCAGAATGAATAACAGGGGCTTTTTATTTGATATTTTGTTTCAAAAGTAGTGGTAGAGAACATTTTCCTCCTTGAAGCTCTTGGAGTGCTGTCTGTAGAGTTTTCCAAGCTTTGAGAAAGCCTGAAGACAGTAAATACTGCCTTATTTTCATATCTGTGCTTCCTGCTGTTGAGTTCAGACAGTCTGAAAATGTAGTTTCATGTCTTGCCTGGTGGACTGCCTTATTTTTTTCCTGTATGAATGCATGAAAGTTTGTAAGCTGAGCTGATGTTACCTACATTGGTGCACTTAAATGCAATGATGACAGGACAACTGACATTTTTCTGGCCTTGGAAAGGAATACATTGGTAAGGGGCCTATTTTGCTTTGATGTTGTGGCTTGTAGTTAGCATTTTGTTATAAAGCCATTGGATGTGTCAGGAGGGAAGGATATGGCAAGACAGGCTGGCAGCCTTACTTTTGCATTCCTCGCTAAAAAGGGGTTAAAAAAAGCTGGGAGAACACCTATTTGCAAATTAAAATCTCACTGTGTAATGCATTTAGGTACTGTGTGAATAGAAGGAAACAGCAACTACCTGAGCAGCAAAACAATTCTGCACTCTAAGATTGCTTCAGGTATAGGGTTTTTTTCTTTTTCCTTTTTCTTTCTTTTTTCTTTCTTTGTTTTTTTTCCCTTTTTTCCTTTCATTTTTTCTTTTTCATTTTTTCTTTTTTCCTTTTCTTTTTCTCTTTTTCTTTTTTCTTTTTTCTTTTTTCTTTTTTCTTTTTTCTTTTTTCTTTTTTCTTTTTTCTTTTTTCTTTTCTTTTTCTTTTTTCTTTTTTCTTTATTTTTTTTTATTTATTCTTTTTTTTTTTCCACAATCTCATTTCATCTCCCTACTGGAAATATGTTCCAGGTTTGCTGAGCTACAAATTATTTTCTTAAATAAGAAAAAGTTGTTTCTTAAACAACTTCATGTAGTTGTTTTTTCAGAAGCTGACTTATAAATCTAGGTAATTCCTAATGTGGCGGGTTGTTTTTTTTTTTCCCCATGTCCATTCTGGTTACTGTGGCTTAATTTGGACTTCTTAGAATCAAAGAATTATTCAGGTTGACAAGGACCTTTAGGATCATCATGTCCATCTGTTTCTTGGAGGAAATATGCAAGATACTAGCACTGTGAACCTTGGCAGCAAGAGGAAAATTCAAAAGGCTCTTCTGGCTGCTTCTTGTGAGAGAGCCATAAAGCTCTGTTGTTTGGTAGTACTGAACAATAAGCAGAAAGCCACGTTGCAGTACCCTTCTGCACGGGTTTATGAACTTGCTGGGTCTGGAACCATGGAGGGTTCCAGATGGTGGCCCAGGAGGCAGCAGTGAATAGAGGGGCTGTTCCCAGGGTGCAGTCATGGGAAGCATGTGAGAGGCATTGACTGGGGCTGCATGACTGCAGCATGGAAGAGGGGACCTGGAGAAACTGCAATAGAGGACAAATTTTGGAAAGTGATTGTTGTTTGGAGTTAGGGGAAAAAGAGGAAGGAAATGTTTCTGACTATAACTGTGTGCATATTTACTCAATGTCGCATTTGAATATGTTACATTTTTGATTTCTGCTGGTGTGTTGGAGCATGAGGAAGGGACTCAAGACTTTGGCTTTCCACAATTACCTTCCCTCTCTCTCCTAGACCAGCTCATCTGTTGTGTCCTCCTCTGTTGCAAGAAGAAATTCGTATTGGCCACTCTCTCTGAGCAGTGCAGATAGGTCATTGGGTGTCCAAACAACAGCTGCAACAGTGTCCAAATGCAGAGCACTTTGTGAGCCTAAAAGTCTTGTGTCCTGGTTTTGAGTGGTCCAAGATTTGCCCTAACTCTTGTCTTGTCCTGTAGTTGTTCTGGGAATAACCGGGCATTCGTGAGACATTGAGGTAACTGAATAAGCCTAGAAGCAACTGACTTGGGTAAGAATTTGGCTTTGTGACAGCATTAATATTGTGAGATGGACATAAAGGTTACTTGCATAAACAAAAGTGAGATGAAGTGTTATTTCCAGGGTGAAATAGAAACCAAAACATGCTTTCCTAGATTAGAATTAGAGAGCAGATTTTTTAATTACATTGTCCTGTGTTGGTTTGTTTGGGTGGTTTTTGGTTTTGGTGGTGTGTTGTTTTTTTTGTTGTTTTATTTTTTTTTTTTTTTGTGGTGGGTTTTGTTTTGGGTTTTTGGATTTTTTTGTTGTTGTTATTTGTTTGCGTGGGTTTGGGATATTTGTTGTTTGGGTGGGGTGTGTTTGGGTTTTTGGTTTGGTTTGATTTTTGGGGGGTTTTTTTTGTTGGTTTTTTTTGTTTTTTTTTGTTTTTTTTTTTTTGTTCCAAGTGTTTGTCACAGTTTCTTTTCAGTCCTATCTTCTTGGTCACAAGTCTTCTCCACAATTCTACTAGTGAGTTAAAAGCTGAAAACAGTGATATGTAACACATGTATGTACAGCTATTAAACATTTTATTCACTGAAGTCCTGCTGTTTTTTATCTGATCTTAGCTTCTTTCATCTCAGCATGACCTCTCAAGGTCTTGATATAACTGTGCTGTCTACTGTGCTTTCTGTGTGCTGCTTCCTTGCTGTGCAGCATGCTGACATGAGGTATAATTCAGAATTAGAACACAGAAAAGAAGTGACAGAGCTCCGAGAGGGAGGCACCTCTGCATCACTGCTAAGCACTGAGTTTCACTCTTTTTGCTGTTGTGTCTTCTCTGGTATGCTGGTGGTAGGTGAGTGTTTGAGCAAATAGCAAAAATGCACTTTTCACCTGGGAGATGATTACTTAGTGCTGACGTTTGAATAGATTTAGACAGAGTGCAAGCTTGTTCTTAACTGATTTATATGAGCATAGTAACCAGAGATAATATTAGACAGCAATATTGTAACACTGAACAACTCAAACTTTAATGCTGAAGCCAGTAAAAACTTCAGTCAGTACAAGCTCAGGCTGGTAAAAAGTCAGAAGCTTTCTGTGCAGTTTCTCACCTGTCCAACGGATCATAACAGACTGGAGTACCTGCATAGGGTATGGATTGCAAGGCTCACCACTGTGCTTTTACCTTAGGAAAAAAACCAGAACCAGCTTTTGCCTTGACAGAGACTTTTGAATATTCTGATAGTGCCTAAAGGATATGATGAAGCATTTGGTAATATGGAAAGTACAAGGTTGGGTGTGGGAGTAATCAAAACCTGGAAAATTCCAAAGGTATTTGTTCAGGTATTGTTAGATTAGGCATTAGCTTATAACTACTTCCTTAAGTTTCACCTAGAGTAATTGAACACCAGGGTTCTCTGAGGATGGTGTCTTATCAGGCAGAACAATTTAGCAAATTTGATGGAATGATGACTGTCTGCAGAGAAAGACTTGATTCATCCCCCAGGATAGAGTGATTGGGTAAGAAGCCTGAAGTGTGTATGTGTTTGAGGTCAAATCTAAGGTGGGTTTTTTTTTTTTTTCCACTTAGAATAGTTTTGAGTGCAGGATCTCAGTTATGCACAGTTGTATTTGCTCACTTGCATTAGGACTGTTTTTTTAAGATTGCATGCTCAACCAGATGGTGATGTGCATGAAAGATGAGAATAAAAGACAGGTATTTAGATGATTTGTGTGTGTATACCTGCATATTTATCTATATCTTCTATATATAAAGCCTGTTATATTCCTCAGGGTCTCATGCCTGGAGAATTTCTAGGAAGAGGTGGTGAATTTCAAAATACTGTAAAGTTTTTAAGTAATATATGGGCAATCTTTATTACTTCTCTTCCCATCTGGCTTTACCCAGGTAGTTGGAACAATGTAAAAATTCTATTAAGAAATCACACTGTAAGGTAAATACTAGTTCTTCTGGGACTTTGGAATTTAAAATGGCTATCTGTGTATATCTGGTTGTGTAAGTTCTGTACTTGGAGACTGTGGTCTAAGTTAACTGAAGATATGACATTAAAAGAAAATTAAAATTAGGGCTTGATACTGTATTTTTTTCTTTTTTTTTTCCTGGCTTCTGTGATTCTGATTTGATTCTACTTTGTGTACATAGGGGGTAGTGCCACCACCTGCATCTCTTGAGTTCACTGTTGTCTTGTTGCATAGAAATACAGACACTGTGTACTTTTGGTAAAACTGAGATTTTGAAAAGGCTGTCATGTGTAATTGGTGTCGTTCATGAAATGTAAAATCTGCTCCTGGTTAAACTAAGTCCTGGAAAAACATCAGTTGCTTCTGTTTAAGAGTAAACTGAAGCTAATCTTTACAAACACATTGGACATATTTTTAAAAATTGTTTTCTTAGGGAAATATTTTCAATGCCTCCTCGCTTGGTAGATATTGCCAACTTTGAAGTCTTCATTATCTTTTAAAAGCAGTGACCTACCAACTGTTAAAACTGGTCTCTTTTTTTTTCAAAGAAAAAACTTCAACCACACAACACTCTACTCCCAAAACACTTGTAAAAGGCTCTCATTTATCTGATAAATTTCCTATTGACTTCTCTTTTTTTTTCTCTTCTTTACACTTGTATGATTTTTTTGCTGTCAGGTATTGGGCTATTTCTCAGGTGGTTTTACTCCAGTGTTTTGGAGAGGGAAGAAGAGAGTGATGTTTGTGTCTCATGATCCCTTTCTTCGTTCTTTCCTTGCAGTGGACTGTTGGAGGTTCTAAAAACAAAAAAAAGGGAAAAGCGGGTAAGGCAGAGAAGAAAGGAGCCATGAAGAGACAGATGAACAAAGCTGCCTCTTCCGGCAGCTCAGATAAAGACAGCTCAGCTGAGAGCTCTGCACCTGAAGAGGGTAAGATAACACATGTCCATTTATTTAGTATGATTCCAAGTGAACTTATCTGTTGTGCACCCTGAAGAGAAATGTTGCATGGTGATGTTGAAGACCATCTTCAAAGACTTTTCATTGTGTAATGTACAGTCAGGGCAACTTTTAAATTTACTGTAGCTTTAAGTAATTCAGTGTAGCATTGCTGTGAGCACTCCATTACAACTGCAAACTAAATGCTATTTCAGCTGAAGAATGAATGACTTCCTCCTGGAAAATGCCTTGCTTCCTTCTAGCATGTCCTGTCTACCCATGTGGGTAGCATTTTTGATTCTCATTGACATATTTTTCCATCTAAAACTTCTTGTGATAATAAAGGGAAAGGTGCATAGTGTTTGTGATGCAAATAGGAGCTTGTCTTGCATGCATTTGCTCTGAATTGGAATTCTTGCACATTTATACTGACACAGAAGAAGAAAAATCATTCTATAACTTTGTCAGAATTTTTTACATGAATATTGAATACATTTTAATGCTGGGCAAACTTCCTGTCTTCTGTTTTCATCATGCCCATGAAGGTTTGCTGGTGCTTACTTGCAATTTCCATTGATACTAAAAAGGAAGTTAAGAAAGTATATGAAGGAGATTACAGTTTTAAGTATATCAAGTACAGCAGATACAGAAAAAGGCATGGAGTGCCTTCAGCTGTATATATCAGTGCTTACAAATCAAGGGTTTCACAGTGTGAGCTTGCAAAGCTGGAAGTTTTCGGGAATACTAATACCAGAATGGAAGTGAAAGAAGGAATCCTAATGGCCTGCTTTCATAATTCAGTGCAATTTAGTCAATTAGATGGGATAATCAAAGCTCTTGGACTTGGATCAAGTTTAAAGGTGGTGTTGCGCAATACTATTGGGGAGTCAGCTGTTCCCTAAACCCCTGTGTAGCTGGGAGGGCTACTTACAGTAACCGGGCTTGTTACAGTGTCAGGGCATTGCCAGCCCTGAGGGTGTTGGTTTCAAATTTATTTTTTATGTAGCAGTTCATAGTATTGCAGTCTTCACATGACTAATTTTGGACCTTCATGTTGCTATAATGAGGTGGTTAATGGTCAATTCTCTGGTGGTTGATCATGGTGTTTGAGGTGAATGCACACAAATTCATGGCTGTTTAAGCAACTTGTGAGGGATATAAGCATATAGGCATAGAAGTGTTACTTTAGGACCGCAACACATTACTAAAAGGCCTTTTAAATTTGGTTGTTCTACTAAGAATTGTTAATTACAATCCAGTTTGTATTCAAATGTAGTACCACTCATTTTATAATTTTTTTTAGCATAAATATATCATGGTAATTTCAACCTGGCCTTAATTTTGATTATATGTATGTTTTTAGTATAGTGGAAGACAAGTGTAGAATTAATTCATGTTATCTCTTGCTAATATGCTATAATGAAGTGGTTGGGCTTTGCCCCAGCTGAATCTCACTACCCTATATTTTTGATTTAGGAGAAGTCTCTGACTCAGAAAGCAACAGCTCCTCATCTAGCTCAGATTCAGATTCTTCATCTGAAGATGAGGAATTCCATGATGGCTATGGAGAAGACCTGATGGGAGATGAAGAGGACCGAGCTCGACTGGAACAAATGACTGAAAAGGAGAGAGAGCAGGAACTGTTTAACCGGATAGAGAAGAGAGAAGTGCTAAAGAGAAGGTGAATTTTATATCTGTTGGTATTTGGTAGCAAATTCTTAAAGGCTGCATAGAGAGTATGCTTACTGTGCTCTCTCATTTAAGATCCGAGCACTCAGCACTGTTAAGTGAGTAAAGCTTGATTGTATATTTTTTGTAACTAAACTGTCCCTGTAGTAGTTAAGAAGCACACAGTGGGAGTTCTGCATATTCTTGTAGAAGACAGTGTCTAAAAGTTTCTCAGCTCTTGAATATGCACGGTTCTATCAGCTACCCTTGTAGTTATTTTACTGCTCTATAGCTTAGAAGCCGGACAGTCAGAAGGCCTGCTTTTTCTTCATCTTTTTTGTATTAACTGTCATGTGCTGATGCTTTGGAAAAAGGCAAACAAAGCGTAAGGTGTACATGAGTTTCTGGAATTTTTTAGAAAACCATGGTGAAGCACAGAGCAGTGTTAAGGCTGCCTGTATATGGGTGTGAAACTGGTTTGGGCCCTAATAGAAGGTAGAGATACTGAAATAATGAGGAGTGGTGTTGGATATGTCCTTTTCATGGAATCTTTTGTGGATTTCTACCTTATGTACTGTTGTTTTGTTGTTTGCCTGTAGCTGTTACACTGTCCAGTCAGGCAGCTTCTTTATAGTAAAGGTATTTTACTTCCCATGTGTCTTAATAGAAAGGATTTGGCATGTATGGGACAAGGTTTCTGGAGTTTCTTTCTTCTTTAGTGCCTTCTGTTTTCTCACTTGCTGAGAAATTTCCCTAGAAGACTGACATCTGTTGAGTAAATCATGTCAATACAAGCGACTGCCCAACTGTGTTTGTCCAAGCCATAGCTAGAGCACTGCCTACTTGCCTTGATTTTAACACCACATTCAGAATCTTATGTGATCTGCTGCTCTCCTCAAAGGGATCAGAATGACTGTAAGTTTGGATATAGATCATGTAGAAGGACATAATATCTTTCAAATTTTACTCTCTATTTCACGGTAACTGAATGTCTCTGTTTTAAAGTGGATACTGGAGAATACTTGATACAAACAAGCTAAATAGTTAAAGCAGTTAAAGCTTGAGTTACTGATTATATCTTAAATGAATTTGTGCTGTTCTGTGTGAAGTCTTGGCAGTTAGAACTAAAAGGGTGGTGGGGTAGTCATTTATGATAAGCCGAATCTTTCAAAAGCTCTTTGTATGCACATTATGCTATGCATTCATTTGGATTACAGCAGACATTGCATCTGATATAATGCCTGTGTCTTGTATGTCATGCTTCATGTTAAAGGCATAAAGGGCAATGAGATCATCTGACACTTCAGTTCGTTGTCTACAAAATCCAGGTGTAAAGGACTGAAGAAGAATGGGCTGTGTAATGTGCATGTGGATAACACATTTTGAATTTCAGTTATTAGAAGCTATTTTTTTTCTTGTGTATGTCCATATGCACACTTCACTAAAGCAATGACCAGTCCAGGATGCAGTGGAATCTCATCATGAGTCTGTTCCATTGAAATTACTACTCTTCTGAATTCAGTGGCTGAAAATAAGATATCAGGGTGATATATTTCATGAAGGTAGATGTGGAAGTACCTAAATTCTTCTGCAGAAACCGAGTCTGATGAGAATTCAGCTGCTGAAGGAGGACTCGAAACATTGCAGTCATTCTTATACAGACCAGTGCCAGTAAAAAGGTGAAGTTTAAGCATGAAAACGTTAGCATGATAGTGGCTCTAAAGAAAAACAAATCTTTAGCTGTTTAGGTTCAAATTATGTGAAATAGCCACATGATTTTAGAGTTGGAGGCAGCATGCAACGATCGCTGCACTGGCAAAGAGAAAGATGGAGTAAGGGCATATTTCTGTGGAATAGTAATTTCTACATGGTCTTGTCAACCCTTTAGGTTAGGTCTCTGTAGGGTTGCACTTGGTGTGCTCAGCTTTTCTTCACTTTATTTTCTTGGGGAAGAGAGGGGATGGGAATAGGGGACAGGATAACATAAAAGGGACAAGCAGTTGAAGTGTTTCTTACAGCCGAATATCAATTGTGATAACATCTGAACAATTCTTTGCTCTCTCAGGAAGAGCATTCTTTCATACATTGTTTTTGTTCCAATAACTTCTACTAGATTTGAAATCAAGAAAAAACTAAAAACAGCAAAAAAGAAAGAAAAGAAAGAGAAAAAGAAAAAACAAGAGGAGGAGCAGGAGAAGAAAAAACTCACACAGATCCAGGAATCCCAGGTAGGAAATTAAACTGTTCGTGGTAACAAACCCTTTTCCCTTGGCGAAAGGAGATAGGATATGGCCTCTCTACCCTTAATGTTTTCCCTTAATGTCAAACAGTGTAGTAAGCAGATCAGAATTTAATTAATTTATATGCTTAAGTTTCCAGTTCATTTAAGGAAGTTAATGTCTTTGGCCTATTGAGGGGTGCACTGATACTACTTAAATTAAAAATAGGAAGTTGCAGCTATGTCTGCAGTTGCTGTGATACCCCTCCCATATCAGAAAAGGAAAGCAACTTTTTACAGTTCCTTTAGCCAAACACCTGTCCTTCAGTCTGAAACATTCCCTACATGCTCTTCTTGAAAAGTTTGAGAGAGCTGACCAAAAGCTGCTCAACTGTCGTATTAATTATTTTGCATGTACATACGTACAGTGGCAAAGATGCTGTTCTTGCAGGGATGTCAAGGAAAAGCTTGAATGCCAGGAGGAGCAGAAGTAATTCTAGAGGTTTTCCACCTCTAGTGAAAAGAGGACAACACTAGTTTTTGGGGCCAGGCCTATGTAACTGAACTGTGGTTTCAAATAGTGAAGATCCTGCCATTAATATAATTGAGTCAGGGCAGATAGGCTCCCAGAGTGGGGTGGCATTCATCTTGCCTAGCTTCAGCCATCTACAAACCAGTTCATTGTTTACACTTTCTGTTGCCTGTTTTGTGCAATGGAATAGGAGGTCTTCAGCTGACAATTCGCTCTGTTATTTTCTAGTGAAACTGATTTTTAACACCTGAAATCAAATTGGGTGAAATGAGTTTTCCCTTAGGCACAAGTTGAGTGGAATGAATCACATTTCCCTACTCCCTCAACTCCATAGATATACGTGTGTGTATACTTGTAATACGCAAAATGTACTTGCAAATACATATATGCATCTGTAAAAGGATCTTATTTAGAGTTCTTTTACAGTGCCTTGAAGAAATTACTTCAACTTAGCTGAAATGACTCTTTTATACTTATTATAGAGGTTGCTTTCTCTATAGAGATAGATCTTTTAGAAATGGAAAACAGAAGAAGACTTTAAACATTTAAGATTTTAATACATCTTGCAGATTTTACAAGCAACTTTATTTCTGCTTTAAGTATTTTTTAACATAACTTTTTTCTTTGCTACTAAATGAAAACTAGTGCTTTTTGATTTGGCCTTGCAGAAGCAGCGAATGAGAAAACTATTCATCCAGTGTTTCCCCATTACATGTTAGTTGCCAAATTATTTCTGCTTTATTTCTCTAGTCATTTTTTAACTTAAAGGAGGAATTTTGAGACTAAGACTTAGTAGCAGAAATAGTGAACTATAAATATGTTCATTGTTTTTGATATGAAGCAGAATGAAGAGATATGCTCCAGATTGATTTCTCTCTCTAGCTTCCATAAAAATGAACTGAAGAAAAGTGATTTCAAAAAGGAGTATGTTAGTAATTTCTATTTGAAAAATTTTCAAAGTATGCAAACAAATCTTTGTTTTGATGCTTTTCAGCTTATGGATTGATGGTGTTGAGGGATTTTCTGTAAATGTTTTTAGGTCATGTCACATAACAAAGAGCGGAGATCAAAGCGGGATGAAAAACTAGACAAGAAATCTCAGGCAATGGAGGAGCTAAAAGCAGAAAGAGAGAAAAGGAAGAACAGAACAGGTATGAAAGGATGTTGCTCTTGCTACAGTTTTTGAGGCATTATTACAGTTTTCTGATAGCACTACTTCCTGTTTCAAATTAATGCAACAATCCTACACCTTGGAGTGAATTAATTCCATGTCTGTGTTTTCTTTGGTCTTTGCCCAGCATTACCTGCTAGGGTGGTGCTTGGCAATTTACCACTGATGGAATATTCCTCACCCCTACCCCTCCCTAGAGTGGTCTAAAACCAGAATTTTCATTGCATTCCACTGAATGGCTCTTAGTGAGGTTTAGTTAATGTTCTGAATTGGTCACTTAGATTCAGGCTTTTAATCTCTGAATCATTCAAACGCCTACTTATTGTACTTGTGATACCCTGTCTACATTTGCTTGTTTCTTCAATGGCACATCATCTTGTCCATCTTGCCACTGACTTTTGATGCAACCATTTTTTTTACTCTACTGGGTTTTATTGTAATCCTCTCCAAACATGAGGTTTTTATCTTTTTCTTTGAAAAATAACCATGAGCTTTCTGATCATAATGTTTTTTTTCTTGTATATCCAGTTGTTACACTTATCTTGAGTTACTATGTGCAGTCAAGCTGGGAGACTGCAAATAAGCACAACTGAGGTTTAGTATGATTTTAAATACTTTGTGTATGTGCAAAGAGAGGAGTCTGTGAAGTGCACAGCTTACTAGTGGATTTGAACATGTGCCACCTGTATCTAGTGTAAAATTAATACCTGTCTGCCTCTTGGATTTTTTTCAAAGCAATTAAGGTTCAGCTCTTATAGGGAAGCATTTCATAAAATATTTATAGCTTGCTTTTCCTTGTTCTTGGTCCTTCCCCCAGCTGAATTGCTTGCAAAAAAACAGCCATTAAAAACTAGTGAAGTATACTCTGATGATGAAGAGGAGGAGGAGGATGATAAGTCTAGTGAGAAAAGTGATCGCTCATCCAGATCATCATCCTCTGACGAAGAGGAAGAGTAAGTAATAAACATTGGGCTATGATTACTTGTAAGTATTACTTCAAAAATAGTGATCTACTTGGCATAGACACATGCTGGTTTGGAGATTTGTTTGGAGCAGTTCAGTGTCTCTGAAGTCTTTTTGCCTCTGGGCACAATGGCATTGCTCAGATTTGAGTCCTTGGCACTATATCATGGTTCAGGGGACTTTTTACCTTGGGTGAGTCTGCAACTTCAGTTCCCAGCTGTCAGGTTTAGCCCAAATTACACTATTGTTTACTGATCTGTTTAGTCCTGCAATTCAGCAACTTATCTTAAAGCATTAGTTCTATAAAACTGCCTTGGTGTGTGTCTTTCTGCTTTGTGGTAGCAGGGCCAGTGTTTAATAAGTCTAGGACTTCACATTAAGCCTTTTCATGAGTGCTAAATTCACACATCTACAGTCAACTAGTGCATGATGAATTATTCCTTTTACTGGTAATTTAAATAGTGCTCATGCTGCACTTTACTGAGGACCCCCTTTTTGGGTTTTGATTATGTCTCTACTTTTTTCTTTATTCCCTCTCACCATTCTCAAATCAGGAAAGAAGAAATTCCTCCCAAGTCCCAGCCAGTGTCCTTGCCTGAAGAACTGAATCGAGTACGGTTGTCACGGCACAAGCTGGAACGCTGGTGTCACATGCCCTTCTTCGCCAAGACAGTCACTGGCTGCTTTGTCCGCATTGGCATCGGCAATCACAACAGCAAACCTGTTTATCGGGTGAGTGTAGCTCTGAGGGATTTAGTTCTTTTTTGTGTGCTGTAATAAAATATTTGCAGCTCATCAGGTGTCAGGTACCGGTGACTGTTTGACTGACAAAAAAAGATTGCTTATAACCAGAAAATGCAATTGCTGCCAAAGAGGTAGAGGAGACTGGTTTAAGAATAAATGAATCTGTGTGACCACCTAGAGGAGGAGATAAATTTAGTGAGAGAGAGGGAGCACTAAAAAAGCCTGATCTTCCAGTTTTGGTTCATGTTGTATTGCAAACTAGAGTTGTAGACTCTGCTTCGACCAAGTAAGGATGAGTAAGATTCGTTCCTTATTTCTTGGACTGTTCTCAAGTTATTGTGTGGTCTTGACTCTTTTTTTACAAAGTTTTTAGTACACCCCTGTGTTTCCAGAAGAGACTGTCACTGAGAACAGTTTTGTTTTTCTGTTTCATTGTTGTAATCATAGGATACAGTAATAGTCTCTAAAATTGCCTTAAAAAGGCCCCCAGAAGGGCTGTGTTTAGTATCTGAGCAGCAATAGTGTATTTCATTTGAAACATATGTTGACCCAAACCAATGTTATTTGAGAAGGAAGTAGGAAAGGTAGGAGAGTGTACACTATTTGGTCAGGAAGGCAGAGCTGAGAAGATATAAAAACTGCATCAGGCATTCAGATGGTATCATTTATTCACTCAAAAATTATGTATGAAGCAACTCATTCAGTACCTGATAATGTATACTGAACAGTCTTGCTTTTCCTTGATCTGGTTAGAATTGTTAGCTAGATTAAGGTTTTTTATTTCTAGTGAAAAGGCTTGAATATTCCGGATACATTCCAGGAATATGAAAAAAGACCAAAAAACTCTTGTGTCCTTCTCATGTATTTTACTCTGTGATACAGGTTGCTGAAATAACTGGTGTGGTAGAGACTGCAAAGGTTTACCAGCTTGGTGGCACACGGACAAACAAAGGACTACAGTTGCGGTAAGATACTAAAGGAATCCTCTTTAGTTCATAAATCAGTGTCCTTTTCATAGCAAATAATGGTCTGTGTGGGATTTGGAGGTAAGAACTGAAAAGTAGACTGAGCCTTGTCATACTAGTTAATGCTACAGTGTTTGGGTTGGGTTTATTTGGTATTTTTTTTCCTCCTTGTGTGTAATGGAAATTATAAAATACCCCAAAAATTTCATGCAGGGAGTGATGATTATGTTGACATGTGGTTGTTTATTTTTGTACTTCTTTAATCAAATTAAATATATAGATCCAATGTCACCACTTTACACCATCACAAGGGGATGTTTTACATTGTATTGTTGCAGGCATGGCAGTGATTCACGTGTGTTTCGCTTGGAGTTTGTCTCAAATCAGGAATTTACTGAAAGTGAATTTATGAAGTGGAAGGAAGCAGTAAGTATGCCAGACTTTAGTTTCTTCTTAGCAGCCTTCTGCCAAGCATACTTTAAGTGAAAAGTAACTCTGTCTTGTGTTTAGATGTTCTCTGCTGGCATGCAGCTACCCACACTAGATGAGATAAACAAGAAGGAAGTGTCCATCAAAGAAGCCCTCAACTACAAGTTTAATGATCAGGACATTGAAGAGGTAAAATGGTGCATTATAATCAAGCTGTGTCAGTACTTAAAAGTGATAGGAATTCATGCAGTAGCAGTTACAAAGCAAAATGATCATGTTATTTGCTTTCCAAGAAGAAAGTAAAAGGCTCAAAAGGAAGTTTCATAATTGGATAAAGTAGCTTGGTGATCCTGCTGTTGTTTTGTGTTCACTCCTATTCTTCATCGTTTGTGCCCTGTTATCTCCTCTTGAACTTGTGTTGCATATCTCTGAACTCCTGAGTATGGCAACCTAGCTCTCAAGTTCTGAAAATCTTGACAGCATCATGGTAGTTGCATTTATCACAGGTTTTGCAGTCTTGTTCTTGCTTGGTACTGACCAAAGGTGATTAGCTGCAGGATTTTGTAGGTAGTGAGGAGAATGGAGCTTTAACTCATTACCAAAGGCACAAACTAGAAAACAGAACCATCAGAGCATATGTCAAATTCAGTGGCAATAAATAAATTTCTTAGGTGATACTCTTCTGTTGCTTCTAATGTTCAAATACTGAAATAGAGATTTCGTATTTGCATATTCATGTTGTTTCCTCTGCATCTTACAGATTGTGAAAGAGAAGGAAAGGTTCAGAAAAGCACCTCCAAATTATGCCATGAAGAAAACTCAGCTATTAAAGGAGAAGGTGAGAGATGAGATGATGCCTGCAAGTCATCACTTAATGCAGTCTTTGATTTCAAAGAACTGGAGCTCATCTGGATTGGCAGAGGTCAGCAGTGGGCTCAACTGTGAGCCTACTGTGCAGCTGGAAGGTGGTTCTCAAGGTTCATTGCTGGGATCAGAACACTCAGAATCCAGTCAGCTATTGCACGCCTGTTTTTTTAGTTTAAATTGTTGGCAATTGCCCCTATCTCTTCTTGTGTCCATTAAACAAGGTCTTAGACTGATTTGCCTCAGAAACTTTTCCTTTTTTCTTATTTTTTTCTTGTTCTGCTTTTTTTTGGTCCATTTTGTTTGGGTTTTTTTTTGTTTTGGTTTGGTTTTGTTTGGTTTTGTTTTTAGAGTATTTTGTAATAATGTTTGGAAGTTGATTTCATTTTCTTATTTTAAGATAGGAAAAGCAGAAGTTGTGTTATATTGTTTACTCAGAGGTAACTGAATTGTCACTTTATGCCTGGTAATTTCTATTGAAAAAAAAGAAGTGACTGAAAGGTTTACTTGCCACAAACTGTTTTTACCTGTATTCTTCCTGGAACAAGTAGACCTAACAGTGCATAAAAGCCAAAGCCAAGAAGTGAAGAAAACAAGCAGTCTTAAGTATCTCTGAAGTTAGGACTGCACAAATAGAACCAAAATTTGTTTGTCTTTCTCGAGACGTTAAAGCTTCATATACAGTAAAACCCAAGAGTTTGTAATAATATACATTTCTTGGTTCCTTGGTTTAACTGTATTTTTGTGGTCACTATTTCACTATACACTAACACGTAAATTATTAGGTTCCCGTCACAGGAGTGCGGTTGCTTTCTGTTGTCACCAGGTGGCAGAACAAGCTGTTGTCGTGCCTCGGGACTCTCCGCTCCCTGAAGTAAATGGCAACTGGCAGCTGTGGAAATAATTCCTCTCCTGATGTGCTAAATGGGGATGTTAAATTTTAATAAAACTTGTAACTTAAATCATCTAACTGACCTGTCCTCCTCATGCTGGGAATAGTGTTCCTACATCCTCCTTAGTGTAAGGGTTTTCAGAATAAGAAATCCAGTTTTGCCTTGCGCTCTAAAGAAAGTGTAGCTCTGTTGTACTCTTACCATGCAGGGAAGAACATTCACGACTGGAGTAGGGTTGGCTGACTGATTCATGGATATAGCCATTGTCTTTCTGAGTAATTCTGGGTAGAGAGTAGTGCCTAATGAGTTACTTTTTGGTTGAAGGCTATGGCTGAGGATTTGGGGGACCAAGATAAGGCCAAGCAGATTCAAGATCAGCTTAATGAACTTGAAGAGAGAGCAGAGGCTCTGGATCGTCAACGAACAAAAAATATTTCTGCAATCAGGTACGAAGCAGATACTGTGAATTTTCTTTCTTAAATAGTATCAAACAATATTTAAAAAAGAAATTAATGCATTAATGAATTAACTGCAGGATTTTGTTTCTTTTTTTCCAGTACAGTGTGTTAATGTATATTGTAATGGCTCTGTTAGTGCCTGTCTATCTTCACTTTCTTGTATCTGTCTTGCAGTTAAAACTGTCAAAAATGTAAACTCTCTTCTGTATACCCCAGGGGGCAGTTGTGTTGCAATAAGAGTAATTTGTGGTCAGGATGAAGCTGCAAGAATGCTTTCAGCTGTTTTGCTGTGTAGGGACTGATAAATGACAGTCACTTTCTTTTTCTTTCCCACACCCTCCTTTTTTTCCATTTTGCAGTTACATCAACCAGAGAAATAGAGAGTGGAATATCGTTGAGTCTGAGAAGGCTCTTGTGGTAAATAGTGCTGAATTAATACTTTTCTACAAGTAGAGATGAAATGATGCAAAGAGGGATAATTGCATGGCAAAATCACTAATTTTTTTAAATTATCTGTAAAATCTTTCATATAGGAAAATGACATGATTTGAAAGCACATTGCTTTATCCTTTTGCTCAATTCAGTTATCAGCAGATTAGTCACTATAAGAGTGACTTAATGCTTTTTGAATGGGAAATAAAATAAGTCTCCTCATAAAGGAGACTTCAGATAATAAAACAGTGAAGGAGATACTGGGTTCTTTGTAGTTATATTTTTATTGAGGAGGAGTTAAGGTTGTTAACAAATGCGTAAGCATTAACCGTCCTTAGAGTTGTGTGCCTATTTTCTGTTGTTGCATGCAATAAGGATAGTTTTGTCCTGTGATGCAGAGGATGGTGGGTGCATTAAAATCTCTCTTATCTCTAATGTTGTTTTCTGGTTTTTCTCTTATCTTGGTAGTGTATATAGCAGATGAGTAATTGCATGGATGGGGGGTGTGGGAGGATTTAAAAGAGTGCAAGTTGCAAACTCTGTAAAACTATGTGCTATTTCTTCTCCAGGCTGAAAGTCACAGCATGAAAAACCAACAAATGGACCCCTTTACTAGGCGGCAGTGCAAGCCCACAATAGTGTCTAATGTGAGTGTAAGACTTAAGTTCAGTTGAGGCAATTTGTTGAAAAACAGAAACCGGTGTAATGCAGAATGTAGGAACAAAAATTACCGACTGTGCCATATGCTATTAACGCCCTGAATGCCAGTGTGAGATACAGCTGAGTGAGATCCTGGTCCCTCTTCTTTTTTAAAGCAAAGTGTGAAGGACATAAGTGATGTGGGTATGTACTGCAAAAGCAACCATGATTGAGACTCCTGTCGTGAGTTCATCTGTGTCGAATTACTCAGATTTAGTTAGCTCTGGGAATACAGTTTGCTTTAGGTGTGAGTTTCACTTTTAATTAGCTGAAAGTTTCCTGAAAGATCAGGTAAAGATGAGAGGAGAATAAACATTTTGGGCCTGTGATGAATGAAATAGTTAAACACAAACCTCCCATGTGATACTGTGGCAAAACCTTCTACTGCAGTCCCTCCATATATAAGTAATGAGTAACAAGGTGATCACCTCCTCCTTCTAAGTAATCTGGCCTTGTTGAGGTCTGTTCTGGAATAGTATGTGGTTCTGGTGTAGGTACCTAAAGAAATAACTGCTCAGGTTGGCTTTCATCAGTCTCCACAAACCAGCAAGGAAATAAAAGGAAAGTTATATTGCAGGGCTTGAATTAAATATTTCTGAAATACTTCTTTAGTAGAAAAGAATTGTAACTGAATAGCTTTATTATGCTAGAAAACTATTAGGTAAAGAAAATAATCTTTTATAGATTTCTTATCTGTGTTTCAGCCAGAACTGTAAGCTGAAAGCAAATACATATTACAGTGGTATTAAGAGTAGTCACAGAACCCTATAATCAGGAAATGTATTTCTGTTTTCTTTCAGAAGATGATTTTTAGTTTGTTATTGTCAGATAATGTCAGGAGGATTTCAGTAGCCTTCTGAGATTCTGAAAGTTGGGTGAACAAATATACAGTCTCTTAAGGTTTTAGATTCATGGATATGAACACTGTTTTAACAAAATGTAGTTCAAGCTTTTACAAATTTAAATGCAGTAATTTTTTATTTTTGCCTAATATTTCACCTTTGCAGTCCAGAGATCCTGCTGTCCAAGCTGCCATCCTTGCCCAGCTAAATGCAAAATATGGATCTGGTGTGTTACCAGATGCTCCAAAGGACATAAATAAGGTAAGTTTCCATTTTGGTCTCTGTTATGTTCCTCACTGTTTTGCTCTATGAAGCTTGTGAGTAATAGCAGGTGTGCGTACTTCAATTCTAGAACAGTGTATCCTGTAGAGATTTATCACAAAAAAGCAATAGATTTTTGATTATTGGAAAAAGAAATTTAAGTTGCTCTAGCAGTATGAAAGCTACACTAAATATGTTTATGACAGAAGAGGGGGAAAAAACATTTTTATCTCTCTTTGTATGGCCAGATAAGGTTTGGAGACTTACCTGTAGTTTTCACTTCAGGGTCAAGGAAAAGATAAAGATGTGAACTCTAAATCAGCTAGTGACCTCTCAGAAGATCTTTTCAAAGTGCATGACTTTGATGTAAAGATTGATCTTCAGGTTCCCAGTTCAGGTAGGTGTTCCCATCTGAGTTTGGGGATGTGATTGTCCAGCCCATTTTGATAGAACTTACTTCTTCCAGAATAATTCTTTCAAAAATTTTGGTGGGCTTTTGAAAATGGGAGTAAGGACTCTGTTTACCATCTTGGCATGTATCTTGAGCTGAGGAGGAGGGGCTGTGTGATAGTGACATCCATTGAGAAAACAAGAACAGCTGGATTGTGTTAGACTAAAAGCCTGCATATCCCCTTATCATTGATTTGAAGCCTAGGAAGAGAAAGATAATGAGTGGGCTTTAATATGCTCTTTGAGTCTGTATTATCTCTGACTTGCATAATCTTTGGGGGAAAGATGTGTGTTATATTTAATAAGTGTTGGCAGCTACCTTGATACATACTTTTTTAATTTGTCTAATAATTTTCAACAACAGATAAGCTGTTCTGTGTGTCTTATGTGTTCTGTTCTGTCCGCTGTGCTCATACTGTGGGAATAAGGTATTATTACTTGATTTTGAACGTGCTGCTTTACCAAGTTGCTGTTCCCTAACTCAGACTTTGCAGATGGTATTGAAGCTAAATTTTAGGGGAATGAAAACACTGACCAGTGAGTGAAGATAATAGACACAAACTTGCAGGCTCTTCCTCCTTTTTATCTTGGCTTTGACAGCTGGAGATGTGTGACAAGAACAGTTGTGTATCATAGGATCATTTTGATTGAAAAAAACCCTCAAGATTATCGAATCCAACCATTAACTCAACATTCACAAATCCACCACTAAAACAGGTCCCCATGTGCCACAGCTACACATCTTTTAAATGCCTCCAGGGATGGTGACTTAACCACTTCACTGTGCAACCTGTTCTGATACTTGACAATCCTCTTGGTGAAGAAATTTCTCCTAATATCCAGTCTAAACCTCCCTAGTGCAATTTGAAGCTATTTTCTTGTGTCCTATAAAGTTGTTTTCCAGTGGGAGGAGTATACCAGTGCAATGTGACACACAAGTTTTAATATTTCTTTCATTAGTTGAAGGCAGTTTCTTGGAGGACAGTAATTTAGTAAGTACTGTAAGAATGCACAAAGACAAGCCTTCTCAAGAAGCAAGAGCAGGAGAAGTTTTTCCAAACTAGATCAACATGAAAACTCTGGATGTAAGACTAGAGAATGAGGCAGAAGTTCAAGAACGAGACTTCGTGTAACAGCTAGTGAGTTACAAACTTGAGAGTTAGCAAGCAGATGAGGGTTAGGCACTGAAGGACACTGGAGAGAGAAGTATGAGGAATGCAGTTTTCCTTAGACAGTCCTTAGCAGTCTCCTTGCTTAACAGAAGAATCTGGAGACTGATAAAAATGTGTGTTGTAGACATGGAATGTTTGACTTTTTCTGCTTACTATCTGTCTCTGGATTAACAGCTGGATTAACATACAGAGTCAAAATTGTATGTGCTTGCATCTATGAATATAAGCTCCCCGATACTGCCTGTATTATTAACTGAAGTTCTAAGCTGATGTGTACTAGAGAAGCCAAACATGATTTTGTGGTGAAGTTGTCAGCAAAAACAATAAGTAAAAATGTATAGTTTGCCTGTAGTTTTTGTCCTTACTCTTTTCTTGTCCCCAACAGAATCTAAGGCACTGGCCATCACCTCCAAGGCTCCTCCAGCAAAAGATGGTGCCCCTCGGCGATCATTGAACTTGGAGGACTACAAAAAGAGACGGGGGCTTATTTGAGCATGCCCGCTCTGCTGCTTCTGATCCTGCATGCTCCATGATGATGTCCTACTTTTTCTTCCTCCCTTTTTCAGTTTTCCCTTCTGGGTTGGAGCAGCAATGGAGCTGGGAAAAGACTCTTTAAAACTGCCAGTCATCTGTAACATAAACCATTCAACTATTTACTGTATAGACCTCCCTTCTTGCCCTTCCCTCTGCTCCCCTCACAAATGTGGATCTGTGCTATTTGGGGTTTTCCCATTTCTTTTAGTTTGAGTTTTGTTTTTATTTTGTTGATGCAGCTCGTTGGTCCACTCTGTGTTCAGTATTAGCCTGAGGTCTGGATTTCCATAGGAATCTCTTGGCAGTCGCAGAATCAGCACTTGGTGATCTCCCCTTACATACCACCACCAGGCACAGTGAATAAACATTGGCGCAAGACCTTTGTGGCCAGAAGGTCATCTGCACTTTCTCCCTCTTCTTCTTCCTCCTTCATCCTAGCTTTGGAGAAGGGAATCTTCAAAAACTGGCCTAGGTTCAAAGTGTAAATTTTTTTGGGAGGGTTGTGTGACTTTTTTTCAGGTGTTTTTTATCATTTTTAAGCTGCAGTACTATTTGTATCCGTCTGTCACAGTTCTTTACGGCTGTTTGAATTTCTACCAGCTGTATTTGAGCATCTGAAATTGCAAGAAAGAAACTCATTAAATGTGATTCTTCTTACTAAAATGGCTTGGCTGATATAGCTATTTAACTTTATGTTCTCTTTTTTAATTACACTTAACCGATGAGAAAGAGGTACACAGCTCTTAATGTGGGACTTGTCATCTATAGCACATCCAGACTCTACTGCTGTCACTGGGTGAAGTAGCTTTTTATGGGGTGATCCTGGGGAGCTCATTTGGTTGGGCTTTAGTTTCTTCTCCAAGCCTTCAATATTACATATTTGTTAAGTTATCGTGTCTTCATGGACTCCAGCTTACTTTGTTTCTTGCTTTCTGAACCATTTAAATGGGGCTTCTATCAATAAACAATAATTTTTTTAAAAATCACATTCTATGGAAGGGGAAGGACATAATAGAAAGATCAGTGGGTAATATGAGAGGTAGATGATGGACATTCTTCATATATAAACTGGTACAAGTGAAGTGCAACACAAGCACAAGAATTATATGGCTTTATGGAATATTTGACTAGGCACAAATTGACAGCTAAATTATCACTCAGGTGTAAAAAAGAAAAAAATCAAATGTAAATATAAGTGACATTTAACAAAGAACTTTTCTGAGCAAGATACAACTGACTATATGAAACTAAGAACTAAATTAAAAGAGAAGTCTAAAAGGTTAGAGACCCTCGTTCAGGTAAGCGTGTAAGCACGTGTGTGTTCCTACTCAGGCCAGTACATATATAACAACTTAAGCACTGAACTGGATAGGAATGTTTCTGAGGGACTCTAAAGAGGGAAAATGCAGTGCTCTTCTTGTGTCAGAGCACTGCTGTTTTTCTGAAATCATACACTGGTTATCTTAAAACCTGTGTTTGATACTTTCTTGTTTGATTTTTAATGAAAATTTAATCTAGTTCTTACTTAACTTTCTCTTCCTTTTTTTTAACAGTAGCTTTAAAGAAACATCATGTAATGTGTGCAGATTGATTCTATGAACTGTGTATAAAAAGAAAATCAACGTATGAAGCCTACCATGTAAACAAATAAATATAAATATTTCAGTACTTATTTACTGAATAGTCCATAGTTCTAGAACATGTGGATTATTCTGTAAATATGTAATCATAGACTACTTTATTTGGTGGCCTATTTTAGCAGCTTCTCTGGAGTTACAGTAGGCTGTCACATATACATACTTATAACTTTTTAAGATTTGATTTATGGGATGTACCATCATAACTTCATAGGAAACGTGATTCACTGTGTAGATAAGCATTTGATATGATTTGATTTTTTTCAACAGCTAAAGTGATTTGTGATAAAAAAAGTAGAAAATTTACTTTGCAATAGACAGTTTTGAAAATAATCACTCTCTAACGGTTTGCAGAAATAATTGCCAAATCAAACAGTTCAGGCACTGATTTTTCCCACAGAAATGCCTCAGAGCTCTGAGATGCAGTGACAAGTGGTCTCTAAAGGTAAACTTAACCCAAATACAGTATTTTTAATATGCTTGGCCTTGATGTATTAGTTTTAGTTAACTTCTACATTTGGTAATGCAAGACTATCTATAAAACACCAAGATGTGGCTGAGACCCATACAGTGTTGCAAGTAACTTCAGTAGACAAAACTGAAAGAAAACATGGGAGATGCAGTGAGTTTGGAATGCCAATCTGAATGATGGACTATGTCCTAGTTATCTGCAACCTTCTCAAAATCTCTGGGTTTTGCTAAAATTCTGTTTTTCAGAGAAGGCAACCATCAGTAAATTATGCAAACCTCTTATATTGAGAATAAGACATGAAGAAAGTACTCTTGAATAGTTACATAATTGTATGAAAGCTGTAATCTTTTTTTCCTTTAAGTGCATGTAAAGGTGAGTGACTACACCTCCCACTTGTTAGAGAGGGAGAGATTTGTTTACTTTGTTTCATTGGTGTCCTAGCATAGTTCATCACAATTGTACAGACTTATATAAATAAACTTGGTTTGTTGGTTTAATAAGGTTGATTGTTTATCCCTTGATCTGAGGTGCTAAGGGTTTCCTATCTGGATCTTGTTTTTTCAGAAACTGACACTTCATTTATCTCTGGACTATTATATTGAATACTTATATTGTGAAATAATGAAAAGTAAGTCCTCTTTCTGTGCAAGAGCAGCTGTTGACTCTTGGATCACTCTCTAACATCTGGAGTTGGTCCTTATCACTAGACTCAAATGGAGCCTCTTGGAAGGTTAGATTGCTTGCACCTCTGTTCCATCTCACTTAAAACACAGACTTTGTTGGTCTGGTAGAAATCCAGTCTACTTTTGTAATCAAAAATGCTAAATCATATAGCTGAACTTAAAAGAAGCTACTGAGTAAGGTGAAGCATGGTTTCCTTGGGGTTCTCAGTGTGAGGATGAGACACAATAGACAAAATTTGAAACAAGCTAAGTTCTGTCAAGATGTAATATTTTTAAAAATTACCTTTAGGACAGTTAAACAGTGCACTATGTTGCATGAGAGATTTTTCTGTCTCTTTTGGATGTTTTCAAGAGAATGCTAAATTAAGGCATGAATAATATAATCCAATCTTGTATCTTACCCAGCTTTGAGATGGAGCGTGGATTGGGGATCACCCTGAGCTCTTTTCTGATCTGAGTTAATGTATGAGTCTATAAGTAATTTTATACTTTCTCCAGTTTTGTCTGTCTTCTCTGCAAGTACTGCCTCCTCCCCATCCCCCTTTCACAACATGCAGAGTAATTCAGCACCCAGAATTTGTCTTACAGACATGGTGACATAGGATGAGCAGTGCAGGATTTCCCAATACACATCTTTTCTGAGACTCCCTGGTTGTGGAGACCTATAGGATTCCTGCGAGGGCTGTCTGTGAAATAAAATTATCCCTAGAGATTAACCACTGAGCAGACTGGAAGTTTGAGGCAAAAGCTGTAACAGATTTGCTTAGCAAAGTGCTAGTTTGCTGTGAGTTGTAAATTAGGTGCCTAGGCTACTGATACATATGCAGTCTTACTTTCAGTACAGTAGCTTAATCTTTTAGAGGGGAATACTTAAGTAGCCAAACAAATATGGTTGTTTTTTTTTTTTTAATCTGGAACTCGCTGGTTTTACCTTACCACCATCATCAATTGCTTCAGATTTTAGATCACCTCTCGCACTCAGTAGCTGAAGGAATCTCAAATGAGCAATTTGTTAAGTCTGTTGTGTGTGGAACTACCTGAGTAAAAAAACCCAAACAAAACCCAACCACCAACGTAGGTTTCTGCTTGGTTAGTTGGACTGTGGGGCTAGTAAACATGGAGAGTTGTAGTGGTAATATCTTAAACTTCTAGAGCACTATGGAAAGCCAGCCATTCAGTACTCACCTGGGGGGTCTTTACGCCTTGATATCTGTCAAGATGTTAAAGGGTCCTGTGGCCCAACTGTCGGGCCATAACAGGTAGGCATTATCCACATAACTCCAGCATTTGGAGACTTGACTCTTTATTTAGCATACTTTTTTCTGCTGGGAAGAAGCAGTATTCAGCTAAGAGAATGAGCAGTTAAAGAAGGTAAATTAAAGTAGGAACTTTTCAGAAATAGCTAATATATTGCAATTACCTATGAGTAACAGAAGGCAGGGTGAGTATTGATAGTACTTCGGATGATGTATCTGGTATTTTATATGAGACTGCATGTAGACTGTGTCTGATTTTTGGGTTCCCCAGTTCAAGGAAGATTTCAGCCACCTGAAACAAATTTAGTGAAAGGCCCCTGAGATGGTCATGAATTAGGGCTTGTTCAGTTTCTTCCAAGAGGTCATGACAAGCACTGCAATAGTGTATTATGGCTGTTAGTAACCGGCCATAAGCTTAGTACTGAGTCTGCAAGGCCTTTGGTCTGAGGAGGAATATAATGCTTCCCCTGATGGACTTCCTTTGGCCTGCCTGTATCTTTGTTTTACTTAGCCTTGCTATAACAATTTCCATAACTGGCTGGGTGTCTGTGGTTAATTTCTTTTACTTCTGTTTACCTTTAGATGGTGCAACCATAGTTTTATATATGTAAGAGTATTAAGCAGGTATTCTATGTGCAGTAAGACATTTATGACCAAAATAATGATGGGGAGAGAAATGTGGGCATGTGTTATGGTTTGACACTGGCACAATGCCAGTGCCCTTATGAAAATGCAATCTTTTAATTGAATGTTGTGAAATGTGGTTGAGAATAGAGCAAAGCAGGTTTAAGCTTAATAATAAAGAAAAAAAAATTATTAAGTTATTATTATATTATTATAAAAGGAAAAAGAAAGAAAAAACACATACAAAATTTAAAATGAAAACTTTCTAAAGCATTTTTTTTTTACTACTTAACTTTAATAAATTACAGTGAGACATAATTTGGATTCTAATTAAGTTTTTACTTTTTAGATTTTTGATACTTAGTTTATTGAGGGAGAGAGGAGGGTTTTTTTGTGCTATAGACTCTCTAAGAAACGCAGTTGCTATATTTTGTGTTTCCATGTCACACATGGCACTGCTTGGAGAAAAAGTTTGCTATGGTGTCCCTCTCATTTATATGTACAGTGCTTTTATTACTAATGCATGGATGGACAGACTGCTTTTAGGATTTTTCTTTTCAAGGATGTCCTGCTAAGAGGGGAAAAAACAACAGTTTAGTTTTTTATTTTTGGGACTACAGTCCCCCCCATTTCCCCCTGGGGCTGAGGGTCTAAGAACAGAGATCTTCTTCTTTTCTAAAAACAAAGGGCACTACTATAAACTTCTTTAACTTTTCTCTGTTCGCTCCACTTTTGTCTTTTCCCAGCTGAAGCATGGTCTTTTTGGCTTACTGGTATCTTCTTAAAATACAGTCTCTCTTGGAGGAGAAGATTGGTTTAGTCTGTGGTTACTAAGAAAAAGTCTAGCTGAAAGCTACTCTATCATTTTTTCTTACTTAGAATTTCTCTTTTTAACATTTCAGGGTTTAAGCTGTTTCTTTTTTTTTCTTTTAAACTGAGGAGGAGGAAAATTTCCTAAAGCTTTTATTTTTTAAAGAAAGGTTAAAAGTTTCGACTCTCAAAGATGGTTCGCTACCTAAGCTTTGGCTCCCACAAGTGGCTGGGCACCTTGTGGCCCCCCCGTTCTTCTCCTTTTTTGCAGCATGTTGTTAACAAAACTTATTGCTATATTTTTTTTCTCTTGAGAGAGAGACTTTAAGAAGGAAATAGAGACATCCCAAATTTTTCCACCCTTCCATCTGCAAGGGGCCAGGCCCAGTTCTAGTTTCTTTACTCTTAAGCCTACCTCTAAAGGCCACATGGCTTTTCCCCTCCTGCACCCAGCTCGTCGCCGGGCAGGGGAGAGTCCTGCACTGCATGCTAACTAGAACTAAAGAGAGCGAGTTCTTCTAAGAATTCTGCTTTTAACACCTCTGTGTTCTCAGAAGCATGTCCACTTTTAATTAGTCAATATCCAAATTAACCTCTTCCTCCTAAAAAAAATTTTTTTCCATGTCAAACTACAACAGCATGATATATAATAGCAGCTTTATATATCTAGGAGTATTAAGCAGCTATTTTGTGTGCAATAAGACATTTATGACCAAAATAATGATGTGGAGATAAATATGGGCATGATATATAATAGCAGGCCTTTAGAATTGGAAATGAAGGATGTAGAATAGAAGAGTACAGATTAATGATAGGGCACATGTGTGGAACTGGAAACCCCATAGTCCTGTATTGATGAGTGGTTGCTCACCAGCAGTCAAATATGGGGGGGGCGGGGATTTGGTTCCTTGTTTGGGCTGTGGGGTTTTTTTTGTTTGATTTGGTTTTTAGTAGGTTTTTCTGATTTTGTGGTTGCTTGGTTGGTGGGTTTTTTGTCTTGATTTGGTTGTTTAAGGCAGAAAAAGAACCGGACAAAATTGTGTTTAGGAAGTAACAGCAAAATGAAATCACATCTAACATATGTGAAGGGCTCATATATATTTGGCTCTGAAGGCCAGTAAGGAAAAATAAAGATGTAAAAGCATGTTAGCAAACATAAAAACCACCCCAAGTAAATCCTAGAGCAAGGAAGAAGAAAGCAGCAGTGTATTCCTCCCAACAAAGGTCTTCAGATGCTGATAGCTTCAAGTTATCTTTTCCAGCAGTCTGGAGATGTTGATTTTTAGATGCAGAGTAACAGTAGAAGGGTGAAAATAACCCCTGAATAGGAGGGCAATGGAGAAATATGTCTTACAAGTTTATTACTGCATTTTCTGTGTAAAAGTACACAAGCTGCATGATTGTGCTTTTCCTATAGTAATTACATCTAGACTAATAGACTAATTGGGTTAAGATTTCCATATGCTAACAATAAATTCTTAGCTTTACATGTATACATGTTATGTTTCCTCTTTACTCATAAACACAATCTTCAGTGTAGCAGAAGATGTAACTTCAGGAGGAACTAATAACAGCCTTCCAGTGAATGTGGAGAGGTGATCAGGAAAGTGGTCTGCTTTTTATTGTTGTGGGTTCTGGGAGGCTTAGAGACAATAATATAATTTGAAACTAGAGGTTGTGATTAAAGGTGGTGGAACTTCGTTATGAGGACAGTGAACAGGCTGCCCAAAGAGCTTATCTTTGGTGGTTTTCAATTGGATAAAGCTGGAGCAATGTGGCCTAGGATTCTGATCCTGCTGGGTGTAGGAGGCTAATCTTGGGGAGCTCCTGAGGTCCCTTTCAATCTCATTTATACTATGACTCTATTTACAGTAGTTTCTAAGTGAAGCCTGAGTTTACTTAGGCTTACAAGGCTGCAGCTTGTCTGTTCATAGTGAAACTGCTTTAAGAAAACTGATAGGAGTTACCCAGCTTGCCAAACAGGACTTGGCTGTTTGCCAATGTGTGATTTCTTTAAGGTCTGCCTTCTCCAGATATACAGTGCACATATGTTTCTTAAGTTTTGTCTTTTAATTGAATGCAAAATGTAAAGCTCAATTCTGTTACTGTAGCCCACTGCTGGTG